ACCCGAGCGCCGAGGGGCCGGAGGTGCGCGCACTCGCGAAGTTGCCTCTGCGCTGCAGTCGGTCTGTTTTCCAAGGGCCTCCTTTCTTACGCACGTTTGTCTTTTTTCCCTCAGAGTGCCATTAAGGGGAAATTGCAAGAATTAGGAGCTTATGTGGGTAAGTTTTTTGTTGTTAGCCTAATGGACTTTAGAGTTTGCACGAACGGAATGTTAGTGAATGCATTTTTTCCCATCGTACCTTTGACTTGGGAGAGACGCCCTTCTGCATTCAAATCTGATACTCCCAGGTTACTTCTTTTCCTTCCGTCTTCAGTGAAAGCTTTGTATTTTTTTCCCCCCGAAACCCCATTCTAATAGGGTGTTTTGAAATTGTTTAGTTTTCTTTTTTGAGGCTCTATCATATTTTCCTTAATATTTGTCTGATTTTTTCTGTTTTTTCCTGTTCTCTTTCCTTCTTGATCTTCACTTTTTAGAATTAGTGTTTTGCATATGAATGTTTGATGCATTGTGGCATTTGCCTCTGTCATGGTTCAGTGAGTTTTATTTTCAGATCTGTCTCTCTCTCTTTTTTTTTTTTCTGCTCTTTCTTATCTCCGGGCAGTAATGTGTCCTTTTTCTTCTTATTCTCTTATGATTTATAATTTGAATGTTTCTTCTGGGCCAGGCACTGTTCTTCACTGTTGTGTATACATTGGTTATGGTAATCCCGAGTAGTCCACTGGAAGAAGGTAAGTGGTAGTGTGCCCCAGTTGTACAGGAAAGGAAACCGAGGCTTTGAATACGTGACTTGAGCAAGGTTTTACGGATTGAGACCTGGGTCTGTTTGGCTCCAAAGCTGGTGCCTCTTATAAAAATAATAGCTACCACTTAATGATAATGATTCTCCAGGTGTGGGAGACCCCAAGGGTCTCTGAAGTCGAAACCATTTTCATATTAATACTGACAGATATTTGCCATCTTCACTGTGCTGACGTTTGGATTGTGCCAAAGTAATGGTGGGTAAAAACCTGAATCAATACCTCACACCAAAGTTTACAAGAAATTATCATGTTCACCACCCTTCCACTTGCAGTTAAAAAAAAAAAAAGGCCTGTTTCACTTACAAATGTAATTCATAAATTGAAATATTTTTTAACCCTTGGCCCTGATTACAGTTTTTTAATATGTGGTGTGAGGAAATAGGAACTACTCGTAAAGTACTTCTGCCATACTGAATGTGATGGGTTGTCTTAAGGAAGAGGATTCATGTGATTGAGTTAAAAACTGAACTAACCATCTTTTTCATGGAACTTTTTTTAAGTTGAGGTTTGGTTGATTTATGGTATTGCGTTAGTTTTAGGTGTGCACAAAATGATTGAGTTACATATACGTGTACTTTTTTCAGATTATATTCTGTTGGAGGTTATAAGATACTGAATATAATTCCCTGTGCTGTACAGTAAATCCTTATTGCCTATTTTATTTATAGTAGTTTGTATCTCTTAATCCCATATTTCTAATTTATCCTCCCCCATCTAGCCTTTGGAACCTCATTTTTAACTTCTAAGATGGGCCGACAAGCTAGTTACATACATTTGGGTATTTGAAAGACATTTCCTGGAAGTAACAAAGGAACTGAGACTTTTTTTGCCAGTGACAGAGGTTGAACTTTCAAATGAAAATTAGAATTTTGGAAAATTTTTATCTTCCCTCGTAAACTTGACAGCGTTACAATACTTCAGGATTTCTGATGAAGTCAGTGGTGATATCAACAAATGATTCTTCTGTATTGCATAACAAAATGTGTCCACCTGTCAGTGGTTTGTATAGCTCAGTGAACCAGTGTTTTTCAAATGACCAACGCATGATTTTGTAAAATTGTACAAGGATAAAATATCCATTAAAAGTTTCTGCAGGATGGATCAATGGATTTTTCATGTAGCAGAGTACAAAAAGGTCATTGATACATTTTTAGTTTCTGTATTGTTGCTAATCTTTAAGAAACTCCCACTTGTTGAGTTTTTGATACAAAAGAATAGCCACATTGTCTAAAAATGCTATTAAAATACTCCTTTTCCAGTTACGTACCTGAGGTCAGATTTTCTTCATGTTCTTCATTGAGAACAATAGCACGACAGATTAAATGCAGAAGTAGAAACTGGAATTCAGCTGTTTTCTTTTAAACCAAATATTAAAGAGATTTATAAAAATATAACATTTTTGCACTTATTTTGTTTATTTTGGAAAACAAGATTTTTTCCATAAAAATAATCTTATGTTAACATAGATTTATTGTTAACATGATAGGTATATCATTTTAAACGAGTCTAAAAATGCTTAGTTTTAATTTCTAGTATGGCAAGTATGAATAGGTTTGGGATCATCGGTAATTTTCAGTAGTGTAAAGGGGGCCTGAGATGAAATTATTTGAGAATTGCTAATTTATCACATACTGGGTACATTTTATAAATTATTTGTCAGAATTGTAAGATTTAAATGGATAAGAAAATTGAGGCTCAGAAGTTAAAGATGAAGCTGAACCAGGATTGATTTATTCTTTAATTCATTTAACACTTCATGGATGCCTGTTTTGTGCCAAGAACTTGTTTTGGGTCAAAGAAATGCAGAGAAAACCTACCATGAGAACTTTCTTAATTCTAGCACATGAAAGCATGAACACATATTAATTGAATTTAAGTTGAATCTTATTGATGATTCCTATCAATTATCAAAAATCTCAAACCAAGAATTTTGAGCCTATTAAAAACCTGGTTGTAAGTAGTCCAGTGTGAAATGTAATTGTACTAAAGGTACCATGTATTTTATAATTTTCAAAATATTTTTGTATAGCCTGTTTGTTCCTGAATATGATGCTAGAGTGGGGATGGCAAGTACTTTACCCCTTTTACAAGTGAAGAAGTGAAGTTTGGGGAGGGCTAGCTAAGTAGATCAGGTCAGCAGCAGGTTTAAGATGCAGAAACTCAGGTCTTCTGGGTCCTTGGTGTTTCTGTTAACGGTAACTTCATAATACAAAGTTGATGAGCTAACAAAAGGATAGGAGTCACTTCTCTAGAACTCATCTGTCCCAGCTGTTAACGTCTTAGCACAGCTGCTCAGCTTGTTTGTCTCTGCTTTATGACTGGAAATTTCTCAAGGGCAGAGACTTCATATTGGTTGTGTCCAAGTGGCCCAGCTGAAAACCTATTTTTTTTTTATAAATTTAGATTAAGCTGTTAAATAGGGGTCACCACTAGACTCTATTTGAAATTAAAGTATATATTGTTTACAATTAGCTACCAAATTATTTGTGTATGTGTATATACATCATTGTCCTTCTGAAAAGAGTGACTTTCTAATCCCTTTCCTTGTGCTGGAAAGAGTCCTGGAAACCTTTAAGGTTATGGAAATAATCCTTTAGTAAATATTTGAATATCTATTTTCAGGACATTGGGTGAGATTCAAAGGTGAACAACTTTTTGTTGAGTTGATAAGGTTTCATTCGTGTGTTTAAATGGAGTACTTTAGTGAAATGATAGATATAATTCAGAACGGTCTTTCATTCACGTTCTATAAATATGAGTTTGCAGAAACCTTCAACATCTTTACTATTTTTTCAGTACATAGATTTCAGATGAACTTGAGAACTGTAAGAGTTCTGTAGGAGTGTATCATGAACACATTAATTTTTTATTAGATTATTTCTCATTTTGTATCTACTGAGAGAACAATGTATGAATTTCTAACAGCTTTGTTGAAATATAATTGGTATACATTAAACTCCACCTGAAGTGTACAGTTTGCTGTGTCTTGATATGTATACACCATAATCAAGATAAGGAACTATCCCTTACTCCACAAAGTTTCCCTTTGGGTTTTCCTGGGGTTCCTTTGTATCCCTCCCTTCCTTTCCCTGTCACCATCCTGTACCAGAACAACCACTGATCTCGTAAAATTTTAGAAAATACAAACTAATACATAGTGTCAGAAAGCGCAGCCTGTTCTCATGATTGACAGACATTATGAGGGAGAAAAACTATCAAAACTGCCGAAGGGCTCCAACTTTGTTTCCCTTTCTTGGATTACCAGTGGCAGCCCATAGCAGGTACACTTTACATAAAGAAGCTACCAGGCTTATTTACTTAAATTGCCAGAAAGCAGTGGGAGCCTTTTGATACTTGACAAAGAAAATAAATGGCTGGCTACTTGTCCTTGCTTCTATCTCCTCACATTGGATTGCATGCTTCCATCAGATACTCTGATTTCTCTTATTTCCATTTATAGATTGGGCTTTTACAATGTAATTGTTTTTCTTGAACTGGATTTTTGATACTTCTTGAAACAAATGTCTGATAGTACTTCTGAAATGAACTTTTTTGCCTTCATAGAAATGTTATCAGTATTTACAGTATAAAAGGATCTAAAGGAATTTTTTGGTAGAAATTAGAGTTCATGGTAAATGACTTTCCTTTTTTATATTTTTCTTGTGGAGAGTTTTGTTTTTGTTGTTTTTGGTTGTTGACCTCACCCTCATTATTCACTGTGTTATGAGGATATAAGAATGAAACAGTGATTTGATTAGAAATTATTTAATCTTAAGATCAAGTTTTTAAAATGATACAGACTTTTTGGGTGGTGTTAATTTGATGTTGCTGCAGGTTTGTTACCCTGAGTAATTGAAATCTGCCTTTACTATGAATAAAGGTGTTCCTTGGGAAATGAGTATCACTTTGAAAACACACACACAAAACTAAACAAAATTCAGTTATTATTTTTGGGAAACGTCTGTTATGCTTTCTGGAAGAAGCTTCACTGAAATTATTGACCAATATTAAAAAGGTTAAAGGAAGTGAATACATTCTCAGATGTGGTACTGTAATTTAGAGAATTTAGTTGTGTAAATATTCATTAGTTGTTCCTAATTCCCATCCTTCTAATAATTGAAATACCTATGAAATAAAGAGAAAGAAAATTATACTTTTTGTCCAGCCAAGTTCTAGTAGAGCTGAGATATTCTTACAGCTACGTCTATACTTTCAAGCACGTCAGCTTTTAAGTAGAAGAAAATGTTAAGGAAAGCTTAAAAAGTTTTTTATATACTTTTCCTTTTAAATAGATGAAGAACTTCCTGATTACATTATGGTGATGGTGGCCAACAAGAAAAGTCAGGACCAAATGACAGAGGACCTGTCCCTGTTTCTAGGGAACAACACAATTCGATTCACCGTATGGTATGTTTCTGAATATTTACCCCTCAGACCAAAGTTTGGCACAAATCAAGAGTAGGTGTTCTGTCGGAAAAGAGGTTCCTGGCAGGAGAGTCAGATTCAGTGTTGTGAGCATTGAGAGCACAGCCTCTGGAGCCAGACTGCCAAGGTTGAATCCTGGATCTGCCTCTTTCCTTGGTTTCTCTAAAATGGGAATAGTGAATCACCTTTATAGAGTGGTCGTGAGAATTAAATGAGCGTAATATGCTTATAGCTGTGCCTGGCCCATAGCACGTCCTTAGTATGTGTTGATTGTAGTTAATATGTTTCTTTTTTAAACTTCAGCATCTTTTTCCTTTCTCTCCACCAAAACCAATTACAGATTTTTTTTGGACTGGATTGACTTCCTGAATTGCTTTCTCCAGTGAGTTAACTTAGGGAGCAAGTTTTTTTGACAAAATTTCAAATCATTTTTTTTAACGTTTGGACTTTCCAAAGTTTGGAATTTTAAAATAGACAACTTTGTGTTCAAACATAAATTAATACAATTTGCAATGACCTTTTTCAAACCTCACACGCCTTTAGTTGAAAATACTGACTAAAAGCGTAAGATTCAGTTTGAGAAGGCAGGCTGGGTTCTGGTACCCGTATGAGGCAGAGTGAGGGCTGGAAGAGGGTAATGATGTGGCTGAGAACAGAGCAGGAAGTACTCATAAGGGTCCTCACTGGGAACCACCAATTACAGCACAAGTTGATGATGGAGCAACTATATCCTTTACAACTCTTGTGAAGCTTTCTTGAAATTCCACACAGCTCTGGGCTTATATTACACAGCTTTGAGGAACATTGAGTGCAGTGGTTGTTTCTTAAATGTTTTGGCACGTATGCTCCTGCAGCGTGGGTGACCTAACCCACCTGTTACACTTTGTCCCTGGAATTTACCAAGAAAGATCGTGATGCTTTTGACTGGGGAAATTACCATTATCATGAGTACTCCCTTTTTCTTTTCTTTTGTTTTAAATAAAGCCTTCAGTCCAGGTACTTGTTTTGTTTCATGCACATTTTTTATGTCTGGACTTCTGGGTCAACTTTGAGTCCCACTAATATAATATGGGAGATTGAGCTAGTAGTAGGTCCTTCCTCAGATAAGTTGATAGAGTGCTTTAGACAAATTTTTTTATATAAACAGATTACTAAATGGTTTTGCATTTAAAATCAGATTAATTCAACTCTCATCTTGCCATGAATTCAGTTCTTTGACATGTACTGATGCGAGTGACGGTGTCTGGCACTTCCCTTTCCTAAGTGTTCGTTGACGTCTGTCCGCCACAGACTGTTCTGATTCTTTGGAGGCCTGCAATAGTTGTGTCCTGGGGACAGGGCCATGCGACTGGGTCCTGGTGAAGCATTGTTATGAGATATTTCTTGTGTCTTCAGGAGGCATCGCCTTCTGGAAGGATTATAAGGCAAATCTGCCTGGCATATAACTACTGAAATAGGTTATATTGTAAGCAAAGTTGCGACCTATATTTGTTTACAGAATTAGTTTTGAAAATAATAGTGAAGTGATATAGTATATTTTGAGATTATTTTGAAGTTTTCTCACCTCTCACAGTTAAGTTGTTACAGAAACTATATAAATAGATTAAAAGTAAATTTAAACTGTGCATAAAGCAATTGTAATAATGTTATATTATAAATCTGTGGTATTTTGTTCTTTTATCATAAACTGTGTTGAATCTTTAGTCCTTAAGAAACAAAACGATATTTTTTGTGGATCAAGGCTGTATGGTCAGATGATAGCCTTACCCTTATTTTTTGCAGAGGCTAGATGTTGAAAATAATGATGAAAAATGTGATTTTTGATTGGCTTCTACAGCTTTCATGTAAAGCCTTTTTTTAAAATGTGGAATCTAAATTTAATACCATTTATCCATTAACTATCATTTAGTACTGTATATCAATATTTATCTGAAGATTGAGTCTATAATGCCATCAAATTTAGAGGAACGACTGAAATTAAATCTTTTTTTTTTTTTTTTTTTTGGTGAAGTTTAGGAAAGTTTAATAGTTACACTGCTATAGGCAATAGCAGGCCACACAGGCAAGAGGTGCCTGCCTGAGCTGAAATTAAATCTTGATTATCTTTAACATTTTTTTTTTTTTTAGGCTTCATGGTGTATTAGATAAACTTCGTTCTGTAACAACTGGTAAGTTTCATGAAATCATGTCTGGATTTTTCTTTTTTATTTTGCTCTAGCATATGATTGTGTTTCTAAAGCCATTTATACTGCTTTGAGGAAAAAACCCATAAATTTGAAAACAGTAGTTCATTTGAACTTTTTAAGGAAACAACTAATTTTTGTGAAATTAAGAGCAACGAATTTAATATAATTCGAAGATAATTTAACCAAAGGAAGGGAAAGCATGCAGTTTATCCTAAGAAAATAATTACAGATGTGTGTAATAATATAGCTTCAAGGATGTTTCAGTATTTTACAACTGAAAATTACTTAAAAAGTCCAGTAATAGTAAGTTGGATAAAATATTAGATGACTGTGTGTGAAATAATTATTCAGGCATTAAAAACGTGGAAGAACACTTACTGCTTTTAAACTGGTGAGGAGGCAGTGGAGGTTTAGAGTAATAAAAAAAGATTAAGAAGATCATGTATTTTTCTTTCTAGATCCCTCCAGTCTAAAGTCTTCTGATACCAACATCTTTGAGAGTAACGTGCCTTCAAGCAAGAGTGGTTTCAGTCGGGGAGATGAGAGAAGGCACGAAGCTGCGGTGCCACCTCTTGCAGTTTCCAGCACTAGACCTGAAAAAAGAGATTCTAGAGTTTCTACAAGTTCACAGGAGCAGAAGGCCGCTAATGTCAGGTAAGAGTCCTGTGTGGACTCCTGTGGGTAGATGGGTATGTATATGTGGCATTTATACTAGTTAATGTATCTTTAAATTGCTGTTTTCAGAATCTTTTGGAAACAGTGAGCTGGTCTTGAGCAATTTTTTGAATTAAAACAATGAATGGATAAGACCAAAGTATGATTATCTTTTATCTAAAATGTAGTCAAAGCTTAAAGAATACAGTTTCAGAGAAGTTTTTAATAGAATTCTAAAAGGATTATCCACACTTTTTTATTAAGATTTTTGTAAATATTCTTGGAAGAGTTTAAGGTATTGCTCTAAATTGATAACACATCCTTTTTGTTTTCATTTTTTAATAGACAAACTTACGATGATGGAGCTGCAACCCGACTAATGTCAACAGTGAAACCTTTGAGGGAGCCAGCACCATCTGAAGATGTGATTGATATTAAGCCAGAACCAGATGATCTCATTGATGAAGACCTCAATTTTGTGCAGGAGAATACCTTATCTCAGAAAAAACCTACAGTGACACTTACATATGGCTCTTCTCGCCCTTCTATTGAAATTTATCGACCACCTGCAAGTCGAAATGCAGAAAGTAGTGCTCATTTAAACAGGCTGCAATTTCAACAACAGCAGAACAGTATTCATGCTGCCAAGCAACTTGATATGCAGAATACCCGGGTATATGAAACAGGACGTTTGTGTGAGCCAGAAGTGCTTAACAACTTGGAGGAGACTTACAGTCCCTTCTTCAGAAACAACTCAGAAAAGATGAGTATTGAGGTTTGTATATACTTTTAAATTCTGGTTTGCTAAGCTGAAAATTGGCAGTTCTTAATACTGAATTGTATATGGAATAAGTAAACACTTTGCAAATTTATTTTAAACTGATTTCTCTGCTATTCAACATAAATACCAGTCAGTTTTTCCTCTCCACAACTGGCTTTTACAGATAGTTTACATCTTGTTTACTTTCCTTGAAAGTTAACATTTGAGATATCTTTAACCTTACCTTAAAATTTTGGGAAGGTTTTAAATCAGTTTTAGATCTTTCATGGCAGTTGCTAGTGAACAATTGAGTAACTATTTTATTGGTTTCCTTAGCAGTGCAATATGCTGCTGTTTATAAATGAGTGTAAAGCACTAGTTTTTGTTTTTGATACGGGTTGGCTATTAGGGATATTAGTTGTATTTTGATAAGAAACTAGGGAAATAGCCCATAAATTCTTAATATGCCTGGCTTTTTCTTTAAAAGAAAGAATGTCATAGCTCACAGTGAAAAAGAATGTGACAATGAATATATGTATGTTCACGTGTAACTTAAAAATTGTGCTCTACACTGGAAATTGACACAACATTGTAAACTGACTATAATTCAATAAAAAAAAGTTAAAAAATAAGTAAATAAAAGAAAGAATATTCTGTGAAAGAACTTTGTTATTTTTTTTAAACTAAGTAAGTGTAAATTTATATTATTTCAGGAAGAAAACTTCCGGAAGAGAAAGTTGCCTGTGGTAAGTTCAGTTGTTAAAGTAAAAAAATTCAATCATGATGGAGAAGAGGAGGAGGAAGATGATGATTGTGGGTCCCGTACAGGAAGCATCTCCAGCAGTGTGTCTGTGCCAGCAAAACCTGAACGGAGGTACCTGAATATGTTTGTAAATTGATCTTTCATTGCCTGGTGGAGTCTTCTGGGTTTCTTGAAGAAGATATCATGAAAATATAAACTTAATCACATATAAGACTTTTCCATCAGTTTTTCAGAAACACAACATTAATAAAAGAGAAACTGCCTAAAATTGGAGAAGATTGCAAATAATACTAAAAATTGTAATGTGAGTGGGAGGAAGGTTGATCCAAATTCATTTTTTAAAAAAAAGTTATGAGGTTCCAATCCAGTTGGCATTTCCTAAAAACTACAGCTAGTCTGTTCCAAACCTAGAGAAGGATACAACGAAGGTATAAATGGATGGCTAGCTTGTAAAGAACTCAAATCTAAAATTTATCAAAATACTTTTCTTAATTTTTTTAGACCTTCACTTCCACCTTCTAAACAAGCTAACAAGAATCTAATTTTGAAGGCTATATCTGAAGCTCAAGAATCTGTCACAAAAACAACTAACTATTCTACAGGTAATTTAAATGTATTATGTTGACATTGAGAGATTTCTACAACTCTTAAGTAAGTTAGAGATGATTGCTCCACAAAGTGTTGTAAAAATAAAGATGCCTGCCAAACGTCAGGACCAAGGTGAGGCTCAGAGAAGAATGATTAAAGAGAGATTTGAGGGAACTATATTCAATATCTTGCTGTAACCTATAATGAAAAAGACTGTGAAAATGAATATATATATGACTGAAATATTATACTGTACACCAGAAATTGACACAACATTGTAAACTGACTATATATATACTTCAATTAAATAAATGGGAACAAAATACTAAGGAGCCTAATTCTCTCCATATTATTTTTAAAGGCTTGAAAATTACTGAATTTCTTTTTTTTTGTTTGAATATTACTGAATTTCAAATTATCTTTGTAAATAAGTCCTTTTGTTTGTTAAAAAAAAAAGATTTGACCAGTTTGAGAAACTTTCCCAACTGTCAGTAGAACTTAGTTCTTTGAGGAATTGTAATGCCTTTTACTCTTTGTAGTGTGTGAAATATGGAAATTTTAAAGGGAGTTTTGATAAATATGAGACTTTCATATTTATAGTATTAGAGTCAACATTAGATATGAATTTATATTGTATAAAAGGAAGTAAAATTAGAAGATATTAAAAGGCTGAAATTAGCAAAATTTGTCTAGTATAGAAATAGATTGGTTTCTTTCCTTCTGGTAGAACTCATTAATGGAATATGATAAAGAATTGACTCATTTGTGATGTTCCTGTCCCAATCCTAGTGGAAGTACTGTTATTTTATGAAAGAATATAAAGGTATTAACACGTTTTTAAAGCAAGGAGAAGTGTCAGCTGTAATCTGGTCTTCCATAAAGCTCATTCTGAAATGCAAACCAAGTCATGGGTGCCAGATTGCCATTAAATTCTGTCCTCTGTGCCCTATGCGCTGTAGCAAGTGTTCAGAACTTTCTATTAATAAGCTATGCTGATTACCCACTCTAAATTTTTAAATTTTATTTTTATTATGGATTTGGTGACTGTTCTTATAGCATTGTTCTGCTTTTCTGTTCTCTCTTGCATCTCTTATGTGACCCCTTCCTTAAGTGAAGTAAACTGCTCGCTACTTTTGAGCCTAATAGTCATCTGTCCCCTTTCTTCTCATCCCTAATTTAACCTTGAACGTAAACAGATTTTGGCATATAGGGTAAGGGTTATCAGGCAGAGGCTAACAACTTGACATAATAATTTCATCTATTTACATTCCCTTGTTTGGTCCGTCAGCAATATTGAATGTTTAGAGTAATGAGAAATTTAGACATTTACTGTGATCTTGAAATTTCCTGCTTTTATAATTTTGAGAAATAATGTTCAGATTCTTTCTTTACCTAGGTTGTCTGAATTACAATTTGAAATTGTTATAGAATCATGAAGCAGAACCCAAACTGCATTCGGTTAAAAATGAATACACGTGTGCTGCAGTGTTTTTATGCCATGTAGTTTAAAGTCCATAGATGTTTACATATGTATGGGTAACTATGTCAGGGAATAGTGTAAGGAAAAATGAGGTATTTGTGAACTGTTTCTAACTCCTTGTATGTTCTAAACCAAGGGGGCATTTATATTTAATATGACACTCGCTGTTGAGTTTTGATATATTACTGCATTTGGATTTTCATCTTTTTTGCTTTTTATATAAAAGTCTCACAGAAACAGACACTTCCAGTTGCTCCCAGAACTCGAACTTCTCAAGAAGAATTGCTTGCAGAAATGGTCCAGGGGCAAAGCAGGACCCCCAGAATAAATTCACCGATTAAAGAAGAGGAAACAAAAGGAGATAACACAGAAAAAAGTCAAGGTAATAATTTAAATGATACTTCATCCTTACACTGTTTTCATTCGGCATTAAATATTTTCCAGTGAGTGTTTATGAAATGTTAGTTATACTATGAGAAAAGTGCTCAGTAGACCCCAAAATAGAAAAAGGGACCATAAGGGAAATCTATACCTACACTTTTCAGAATTAAAAAAATATTATTATTAGGGAAATTTTTAATGTTCTCAAAAATGGAAAGAATAGTGCAATGAATTCCCATGGACCCAGTCTCTCAGCTTTAATAATTACCAGTATTTTGCCAGTCTTTGGAAAGCTACTCAAAGATGCATAGATACCTACATTCATCCTTTCGCTATTCCTTCGTTCTCTTGAACTTGGTCTTATCTTTAAATCTACCCTCTCTGAGTATCCTGTCTTTGACCTGCCAGATCTTCCTTATTGTCCCAGTGGTGCTGCTCTGTCGCCTTGTACCTGACATACTTCCAGCTGATCTTTCTGCTTCCTTTCTCTCAGAGACCCCACCCCCCACCCCCAACTCCTGCACAGACTCTCCTGGCTAAAGTGTGACTCTGACCATGTGACTCTTTGTGAGATGAGAACCTTTATAGTGTCTCCCCTGCTACGCATTGCCCAGGACTAATGCCATCAGCCTGGCCTTTAGGCAGCTCCATTATCTGGCCCCAGCCCTTCTCTACTGCCCTCCGGCCTGTTTTTATTCACATCAGGAAAGCTTCTAGTTTGTTTTTTTCCTCTTCTATTGAGATCTGGTTTAAAAAAAAAAACCTACCAAAACTGTATTTAATACTTTCCTAATGCCGGAGTGTATTTTTTCATTCCTCAGCTGTATCCTTTAAGTTATTCCAGGGTCATCTCAGATTTACTTATTTCACGAAGCCTTATGATTCCATCCTACTTTGTCTCTTCATTCTCTCTCTCTTTTTTTTTTTTTAAAAAACGCCTTTGACTGTAGTGTGCAATTTGCTATGTCAGTGTTATGTGCAATTCCAATAAATGACAGACCTGAGAACAGGAAAACCCTCAAAACAGCCAGTAGATACTAATGGAAAGTTAAGTGGACCAGTTTCTGAAAAGCAATTGGAAACTGGGATTTGAGCTTCAGCAAGGGTAAGAATTTGCAATAGATTAAACCCCATCAAACTGGCTTGAATCTATGATTTCATGATGATATTTTTAAAAAGTAAACCCTTAATTGGTCCTTTTGGAGGATAATAGATACTAATTCATTGTTTTGAAAACCAGAGAAATAGTTATTGAGCATTTATGCTTTCTTCTGGGATGGTGCCACTGGGGAACGAAGTAGGACAGGAGTTAGTCCCTGTTGTTGTAAATGGAGTTTTACTGGAACCACGCCATGCCTGTTCATTTATATATTGTGTGTGCCTGCTTTTGTACTACAACCGCAGAATTGAGTAGTTGCAACAGACCATAAAGCCCACACAACTTGAAATAGAAAATGTTTGCCACCCTTTGTGGTACAGTAGATGAAAGAAGCATCTCTTAAAATTCTAGGTAATACGTAATAACAAAATGATAGAGTAGATCCCCCCAACTTAACAGTAAATTAATGAATCTAGGAAATAATCATTAATGGCTCCTAAAACTTTTTTTTTTTAAGTAAAAATCAGCCATTTGTTCCTCCTCTATGAAAGAATAAAACACTGTCTAAGTCTTGCCAAAGGACTTTAATGGGATTGATCAAGCCTCTGATCCGGCAGTCAGCTTGCAGAGGCCAGAGGAGCGTGTTGGTTGCTGCGCAGTGACTATGCAACATGCGGAGCATGGTGTCTGGGGCACTATGTAGGTCAGCCTGAGAATTCTAGATTAAAAGAATAAAAGGGGTGAGGTTAAGCTATAGTGTCTAGTACATACACTTGTGTGATAAGACCACAGACTAGATTTACTATAAAAAGCATGCAGTGGTTACTTTTCGAAAGGACCGACTAGGATGGAGCACATGGAGGGAGTCTTGTCAGGTGCTGACATAGTGCTAGTTTCTTGACCTGGTTGGTAATTGTAAGGATGTTTTGCCTTATAAACACTCATTAAGCTGTTGCTTTTGTGTGGTTTTCTGTATCATTGTTTTGTTTTAAAGTAAAAGGTTAAAAAAAATTGAGAAGGTACCAGGTGCTCGTACTGATGAGGACTACTAGTACTCTTACTGGTTTCATTTGTTCGCAAGTGCGAAGTGACCCCACAGTCATTGATCAGTGTGCTTGCTCACTGTTTTATAGCTTTGTGACAGATTTTTAAAAATCTAAATATGCACATGAATTGGCATGAGTTGTTGCTAGTGTTTTCTCATCTTCTTGGTCTCTGCATTTTTACTAGGCTAGCCACCTCACAGTATTTTGCTTTTTCTCTTTTTGTCTTGGAATAATCTGTCACCAGTAGACACCAGTCTTTTCCAGTTTTTTCAAAGACTTACCACAACAATAATTCTTGCTTTATTGATTATCTTTTTAGTGTGTTTTCTATTTCATGGATTTCTGGTCTTATTTTTAATAGGTCTATTTATATTTTTTCTTACTTATTTTAGCCTTTTTTTAACATTTGTAAACATTTAAGCTATACATTTCTCTTGACATGCCGTTTTTGCTGCATGTCACAAGGTTAGATGTGTAATTTTTTCATTATCATTCTAATTATCTTTAATTCCCATTATGATTTCGTCTTTGACCCATAAGTTATTTGAAAATGCTTTTAATTTATAGTATAGGAAGCTTTGTTTTTTTGTCTTTAAATCTTTTTAAGTTATATGCTATGTGAGGAGGGTATAGCTCAGTGGTATCAAGGTCCTAGGTTCAATCCCCAGTACTTCCATTAAAATAAATAAATAAACCTATTACTGCCCCACCCCCCATGTTTAAATTGTATACTGTGGACTTAGTTGCATTGTGGTCAGATAATGTGATCTATATAATACATATTTGAAAATGGTTGAGGCTTAAGATGATCATTTTGTACCTCTTCCATGTGTGTTTTGGAAGAAAGTGGACTCTAATTGTTGAATTGAGAATTTTGCATTTAGTAGATAAAGTTCTGCAGTTAATGTTGTTCATATCTTGACCTTGCTGAGTTTTTGATCTGCTTGACTTAGTAATTGAGAGAGTTTTGAAATTGCCTATCAGGATGACAAATTTGTCTTAATTTCTCTGTACTTCTGTTAGATTTTGTTTCATTTATTAACCTAGGTGCATATATATTTAAATTGAATCAGGAAGGTACATTTTTCTGATGAGTTGAACCTTTCATTTCTATCATTCTCTCTACTAAATGATGCATTTATATTAAACTCAGTTTTGTCTGATATTACTATAGCTAGTTAGTATTTGCCTTATATGTCTTTTCAGTCTTCTCTGTCCTTATGCTCTAGGCATGTATATCTCAACTATCATAAAGCTAGATTATTGTTTTTAAATTCAATCTGAGCTTGCCTTTTATTGGAGAGTTTAAGCCATTCACATTTATGAGAATTATTGATGGAGTAGTTTCTGTCACCTTTGATTTGTACTTGCTTGCTTTCATTTTTTGCCTTTTTAAAGATTTTTTTTTATTACTGTTATAATTGTTGGTTGCCCAACTTTTTTTTTTTTAATTACTTCAAACTCTTTCTGTTTTGGTTTTTTTTTTTTTTCCTACTGGTTACCACTGAAATTTTACCACACAAATTTAATTGAATATTCCAAAAGTTAAGACTCTGACCTCATTCACATACTGTAAATGGACTTTAGAATACCTTAGCTCCAGTCTTTATTGTCTCCGACTTTACATTGTTTCCAGAGTTTCATTTTGGTCTTTTTTTAATGCATAACTTGGGCACCATTATTATTATTATTGTTATTTTTTGGCACCATTATTATTTTTGTTGTTGTTATTTAGTTTTTTTGTGTGTGAGAGCTGGTTGAATCGACTATTATTATTTTATCCAGGCAGTATTTGCTCAGATTTACCTCCATGTTTATTTTTTTGTTCTCAGATTTCTTGGATATTGTTTGGGAATGATCATTTTCCAGTATTTTGAAGTATTTTTGGAAACTTCTTTAGAACAGGTCTGTTGGTGGTAAATTTCCCAAGAGGCTATTTACCCACAGGCACGTTTTTTCTTTTGTTCAATTGCAGTAGTTTTGCTGCAAACCCAAATCTAGGTTAACAACAGTTGTTTCCTCTCCACACCCTGTTTGTATTATTCCATTGTCTTCTGTCTTCTAGTGTTGAGTGGACTTCCGTTTTTCTAATTGTCTACTGTTCCTTTGTAGGTGATCTGTCCTTTTTCTGGCTGCTTTCAAGATCTTCTCTTTGTCTTTGGTGTTCTGGAGTTCTGCTACAATGTGTCTAGGCATGGATTTCCTTTTATTTTTTTCTATTTGGTATATGTTGAATAAAATTTTATATTTAAAGTAAAATATTTTACAGTATGGAATATATGCTCCCAGTAGAAAATTTGGAAAAACAACAGATCATTCTTTGCTTCATTATTTTCCATACTGGTTCTTGCGGAGGCCACCACTTTTAAATGGTTCTGTTTATGATTTTCTTTTATTGTCTCTATGTCTGTAATAATATGCTTACACCATTGTTTTTTAATTCACCAACTATAGATGGTATCTTTTGACTTCTTGCTGTGATAAATCAGGATCTAACACACTTTTCCTTGCCTCTAAACCCATGTAATAAAATCACTATTTTTTACTTCATCTATTGATTACTTTTGTAATTTTAAGTAATGCACCTAAATACCTATTTCTTATTTGATTAGCTATATCTCAGTATATTTTGACTCCCGAAATAAAAGGATATTTATGTCCTTTCATTCTTAGATATCTTTTCTCATCTACCCACCTTCTAAATTGTGTCATGTTTACTTTTATATTGCTGAAGAAGATTGAATTTACATTTTGTTCTCTTTATCTAGTTATGATTACCGTGCTTTGTAGATTGTAAAATTTGAGAACCAATATGCAGCATTTACATCATGAAGACTCTATAAACATTTCTCAGGG